GTTCACCAGGACTTTGAATAGGAGTCATTTTCATAGCACTGAAGTTGTATATTGCTGTGTTACCTCTAAAAGATTACAAAAAAGAGGTGAAATTTGCTTAGAAAGAGCAATGTGTTATCATTTCAAGTGAAATTCCATCTGTCCAATTATACCTTTAAAACAGTAGATACTTTAAACCTATATTCCATCCTCACTACAGTATTTAAGTAGAAACAGGGTGGCTTTAAGCATGAGGGGATAATATTGAATGTCAGAGATTGGAGTTAAATTCCCAGTTCTTTTGGTAAATTTCTTGGTTACCAATTAAAACGTTCTTCTGTTCAGATGAGGACAATAAACCTGTTTTTTCTCACTTTGCCTCATTTTTATTTGGTTTGTTGATTTTTTTTTTTTTAAGGCATATTTCATCTATAAGATAGAAACTCAGCAGAAGGTGAGGTCTAGGAGCTGTTGTAGCAATGCCAGATAGCTGCTCACCACTTTATCCTCCAATGAAGCAAGATGCTGGGCTGTGCTTACCCACTAAGAGAAGAAATGTAGCCCTCTTAACATTTGAACTCCTCTGTTACAGAGATGGCATATCATGTTGTCATAGAATCATAGAATGATTTGGACTGGAAGGGAGCTTAAAGATCATCTAGTTCCACCCCCCTGACATGGGCAAGGACACCTTCCACCAGCCCAGGTTGCTCAAAGCCCCAAACAACCTGGCCTGGAACACTGCCAGGGAGGGGGCAGCCACAGCTTTTCTGGGCAACCTGTCCCAGTGTCTCACCACCCTCACAGGGAAGAACTTCTTCCCTACATCTAATCTAAATCTACTCTCTTTTTGGTTTAAAGCTATTGCCCCTTGTCCTATTATGATGTGCCCTTGTAAAAAGTCCCTCTCCAGTTTTCTTGCAGGCCCCCTTTAGGTACTGGAAGGCGACTCTAAGGTCTCCCTGGAGCCTTCTCTTCTCCAGGCTGAACAACTCCGACTTTCTCAGCCTGTCCTAATACAAGAGTTCTCCAGTCTTCTGATTATCTTCATGGCCCTTCTCTGGACCTGCTCCAACAGGTCCATGTCCTTCACGGATAAGCTGCGGGCCCCAGAGCTGAACACAGTACTCCTGGTGGGGAGTGATGCAGCCTAGGATATGGTTAGCGTTATAACTCCATGCATTACCTAAACCAATTCATGCGGGATGAAGCCCATAGGTGCTATCATAATACAATGCAATTAAAATAACTAAGAATAATGCTGTGTGTTTTACCATGTTAAAAAAGGAGATAACAAAAAATCAAAATGAGAAACATGAGAGCAGATGAAGAACTCTGTTTCAGGAAGCAGGAGAATCTCCTGTGCTCTGCCATGAGGGAATGTACTCTTCCCGCACAGTGCTGCACCACTGGCCCACATGGGTTCTGGGGACTGTAATTTTTTTCTCTTTCTCCCACCCTGATCTTCCTGGAGCTGGTGTTTTGTAGTGCACAGCCAGTGCGGAGCTGTCATTAGACACTGTGAACCGCTGTTAACAAAAATTAGCTGGGTGAGGGGTGGGCACTTGCTTAAGTGCCCAAACCACATGTTCAGCAAGGATTTTCAGTAAAGCTGCCTGCAATACTGATCCTCAGATCATTGTGAGGGCCTGCTTTGGGTCAACAGTACCTAGATATATTGGCCTGCTAACAATATAGTTGAATATATCTCCTTTCAGCATCTTGAAATGGTCAGTGAGAGGATAACCAGCTTCCCTTTTTGGAGTTACTTATAATAATCACCCTGCATGTTCTGTATATCTTCACAAGACCTGAAATTCAGAAAAGTCAGTGTCAAGCAGAATCCATATTTAAGGAAATAAAGTACTTATCCATTCAAAACCCAAGGAACATGAGGGGAAAGATAATTTTTCATGTCTGCTTGATAACCAAAGAAAACAAACAATGAAATACAGCTTTTAAAATACATACTCCCTTACAATAATTTAATAAACTGTGCTGTCATTTCATAAAGAATCGGGATGGTTGCCGTGGTGACAAAGATTATCCTTGCTGCTGCTTGATTCTGTCATTTTTCTAAGCATGAATTCATAATATTTAGGATTTATTAACAATGTGTCACACTGATAGAGATAAATTACATGCTTTTAACTGGCCATGTAAGTCTTCCATGATATTATAGCCACTTTGTCAACTCAGCAATAAGATATGATGTGATTACTAGAAAATTAAAGTTATTTGTCATGAAAGATGAAGCAGAGAGTATCAAAACTCTCAGAACTGAAAAAACCCCACTCCAATAATCTAATGTATTTCCTTACTTTAAATATTTTGGAGTTAGCAAAGAGTCACCATTTTCCATCTTGTAAACTGATCAAGATCAACATATATTGAGACGAGATTTATTTGTGCTGGGAAAATTTAGGCTGTAATGTATCAGAATTGATGTGTTCCAGACTGCAATTTTTTATGATGATTCAAACTATAATGGGGAGCTTGTGAAGAGAATTTAATGATAGCATACTTTCAATATATAAAAGCATATATACACACACTTATGGATTATGAAGATGTATTTCACTTCAAGGAATTTGTGTAGGGTTTTTTGTGATGTGTGGTAACCTAACTGTAACAGCAAGTTAGATGAGATTGTCAGTGCGGCTGTCTAGAAAGTTGTGGGGTTTTTGCACCTTACTGAAGTATTTGTGTCAAGCTTCACTGATGATAAAATGTGAGGCTGACTTGAATGGCCAGCCCTACAGTCTGTGCTCCATACACATTTTGCAGTCAAACTAGCAATAAGAAATTCCCTAAAACCACAGTAATTTTTAAAACATTTCTTTCAAATAAGAAAGGTTTATACTTATTTTTTTCAAGAAAGAGAGGCCTATTTTCTGTAGTGAGACACAGAATAGATGGCGGGAACCCAGCAGAGCTGAAGCATCTTAAGGCAAGCAAGAAATATGTGTCCGTGTAGATGACTCTGTCTGAAGAATGTGATTTATCACTTAAGTGGGCCATATTCATCTCTGTGTGTAGGATGACCTCTTGATCTGGGCAAGATATGTCTCCCTGTATGTTGCAATGCAGAGGAAGTGACTCAGCTTTCTTTGAATGCACTAAATCAGCATGTGGAGCCAGTCTGGAGCAGCAGCATGGAGAACCACTCAGATGTGCTCAGAATCAAGGAGCAATCCTCTCGCCATTCTTGTCTTGCACCATTCTTACCACTTATGCCACTTAAATGAGTTTATGCATCCCTTTAAGCAGAACAGGCAGGAAAAGTCTGAAAATCCAGAAACTGGATTCTCTCAGTTGATAGGAAAAAAAAAATCCTCACATAGTTGCAGAAAGAAAAATAATCCAGGCTCAGCTGAAATACAGTAAATCAATATGGCATGATTTCTCCCTAATCACAGCCTTTGAGGTTGTGATAAATGAGCTACATACCCAGGCTGCAAAGAAGATGAAAACTGAATAAAAAGTCCTTTTAGCTTAATGACATCATACAATTAGCTCAGTTATGCTGCCATACATTAGTGGATAGCAGTGATATGTATTTTGGCCTTTGTTACCCTTTATCTCAGTGAAATAATGTTCCTTCTATCTGAAGACAATGTAGACAGATGCCATAGAATAGTTATGTTTCTGGCAAACCAGACACAATCATTATTTCAGATTGAAAGTACTATCCAATAAAATCATTCTGTATTTATTTTCAAGGACCTATGCAAAAATCAGAGTCTTGGAAGGGAAAATACCATTTTCTACTGGATTTCTTTGGCAATGTGTATCCTGTTACAACCTGAGCAAATAACTAAGGGTATTGGTGGAAGAATACAGTTGTCTTCAATAGGCATTAAAGTAGCTCTTTAAAGTTGAGATGTAATATGCATAACTTTTTCTCTGTTGGATTGATTTTGGTGTCAGTGTTATTGATATTTAGACCCTTCAGACCAAATCTAACCCTAAAATACAAGGAGGCATTTCCCATAGAGTCAAGTGAGATTTACCTGTGCTTTTGTCAAAGGTGAATTTGATCCAGTATTTTATATCAGTTTCCTGCTGCAGGAAATAGGTGCACAATACCATAAACCTGGCACTCTGTATAGTCTTAATGACTTTATTACACACCTATAATTAACAGCCTTTAAATTTAAATTTCTACCACTGTATGCAAACAGTGCTATCCAACTTGATTTAATTCTGGTTTGTTTTTTCTCAAATTCAACATTTTGCAGTTTCAATATTATCCAGGTTTGGGCACAATAAGGATAGTAGGAAAAAATCAGTGACAAAGGTATATATCAGTAATTTCATATCAGTGTCACAGGTGAGGAATTTTGTTCAAAAGAGAGGGCATGGCAAGGGCAGGTAAATGCTATACCACTTCCTCTTCTAACAAGGCAGTTCTCAGTGCTTTTGTATACAGCATGATTAAAATGAATCATTCTCCAAGACAACAATCCCTAACCTGGGAACTTTTATCTCTATAATTTGTATACAGCACTGAGTCTACATTTTATTGTGTGTTAGAGCTACCAATTCAGCATGCGAGCTTTAAAAAATTTAGAAAACGTAATAAAATGCACATTTTTTTCCATCCAAAGGTAATTTGGAAAACATAAAATACTAATCCTAGTAAACAGCTCAAGACACATACAGAAAAATGTTTAGTAAAAGCATGGTTTTTTCTGATTCATAACCAACACTTATTACTGTATAGCTGTTACAGATCAGTAAAACCTATTCTTGACTTTAAAATTAGCCATATTGCTCAATTAAAACCAGGATAATTATTAAAATCACTTAATGTTATGATTTTTGTCCATATATATTGTCTGCGCGTATATATAAAATCGAACTTTGTTGTATATAATTCTGAATATGCAAATGATAAAACCATGGCTCTGCTATAATATTTGAAGTCCTTATTTATTTTTTATTATGAGAATGCATCTGCTATTTTTGTATGTGAATATTATTTTAATGTTGATAAATCTACATTACATTGTTTTCAGAAATTCACAAACAGAAACTGGAGAGACATGAAAAACAAACACCACCGAAGGGTAACTTTATTTTTTTTAGCCTGTTTACTTAATATATGTATGTAATATACAGTGTTTGTTAACTACATATATTACTATTGTTGTATTATAAAAACATTCAAAGATCAGTTGGCACAGACTGGAAATTATCAAAAATCATTATATACTTTAGCATTAACAAATAGTGTCATTTTATGTTTGTGTGGCTATATAGTAAATGCACATTCATAATAAGATTCTCCTGCCCAAACTTATCCAGAAATCTTTTTTGTAGCAAAAGTGCAAGTAAGGAGAGTGCTGATGAAGTTCCTCTGGTGCAAAAGGCATGAAGTGAGTTGGGCAAGGAAGAAAGCAAATTTATAGGCCAGTGGGTGCCATCCAAGTTAGGAAGTTTTAGTTAAGAGTGAGCCAGGTGTGTATCAGAGATAAGAAAAGCCTCCATTTTAAGAACCTACGCTTTTTCAGACTGTTTAATCTCCTCTTACTGGCACTTTCCAAAATTCCACAGAGGAACTGGTTTGGACTGGTTTTCAGAGGTCATGTACACAAAGAAGTTTCCTAGGCTATGTGCAGATTTTTTGCTTAAGAAAGCCTCCTCTGTAAAGGTTAGGCCACATAAAATTTGATGAGCATCTCTGATGCATGAGTGCTGTGCTTAGTAATGGCAGAGGAAGCAAGAAGGAAGCTTATTAAAAACAGTGTGTGTGTATATATATATACACCCCCTCCCTCACACAATTATATTCAGTTCTGTATATATTCTTTATACAATTTTATAGTCTATTACTAGTGGTAGCTTTCCAGTTCTGTGCTAATCAGGGTCATCTGGAGTGCCTAGAACTGCTTCCCAACTACTTAATAAATCATGTTGTATGAGAATGATTTTTTTAGAGTATCACTGGGCTAGCCAAGCAATAATGAACTCAGATCCATTAGCTATGGATCCCATTTGAGGTCTTTTCAAGTATAGTATTCTAAAAACACAAATGAAGTTGCAGTCTTGACCAAAACTGCGTCATGTGTACCATTTCATCTATACAGAAGTGCACTACTTTACATTGAAGAGCATTAACATTGCAGAAGCAATTACTAAGAAGTTATAAGATGCCAGAAAAAAAAAAAAACCAACCAAACAACACATTCAGGTGTCATTAGTTAAGTCCCTTTATGCATATGCCTGATAATGAGGTCTTTAATTATACAATCACTTACTGAAGCACAAGACAATTTTTTTTCTACTTTTCACTTTTATATTTAGTCCCAAAAATGCATCTTGTACGTAGGAGTAACAATTACAAGAAAACATTGTGTCTGGCCTCAAGCCAGGTGTGACTCTTTAGGGAGTCTTTACCTTCTAAAGTACCTCAAATGAAACATGTGCAAATACAATATTTTATGTTTAATAGGAAATATCCAGAGGTAAAAGGAATGTTTTTAATAGAAGCAAACACTCCAAATGAATTTCAGTACTCCAGACAAAAATATGGGACACTAGAGTTTTAAAAATAATTTTAAGTATATTTTTGAATAGTCAAAACCCCTGAATCTAAGTCCCAAGATTTAAAAGGGAGTTCCATTCATAAATCTCACTTTGAAAAGACGGTACCAAAATATGAGGAATAGATATAATGAATGGAAATCCCAGATGGAAGAGGCTGAAATTATAAGAAAGAGTTACAGTATTGAGCCATGCATGCCTGTGCCCTAAAATTTGGTTTTAGTTATTTTGATAAACTACTAGTAATAAAGTCCATTTCAATTACTGTACTTAGTCAATTTAATCTTGAAAAGAAGAAATACTCTGAGAAAAAAAACATTTGTTCATGCTTAAGAGCCCTGAAATTAAGTAATTTCATGATTACATGTACACATAAGCACAAATTCATTATAAAATAGGGTCTTTCCAATTGATGTATTAGTACTTTCACAAGGGTCAACAGCACCCTGGACTGTATGAGCAGGAGCTCAGCCAGCTAGTGGAGGTAAGGGATTAATTAAGCCCCTATACTCAGCTCTGTGAGGCCACATCTAGTTACTGTGTCCAGTTCCGGACTTCCTACTTCAGGAAAGTCATCCATAAACTGGGGCTAGTTAAGTGTGGGGCCACTGCAATGGTCAGGACTGGAGCAGTTGTCCTAAGGGAAGAGGCTGGGTGATGGAGCTGTCAGCCTGGGGCAGCTGTCCTGTGAGCCTGTCATTTTGTGACATACACATTGCAAGACTGAGCTGCTGCTGAAGGCTGCTTAAGAGGTAGGTGTTATAATTGTTATTACTATCAATGAATAAGAGATAATTACGCAATATTTTGGCAACAAAAATCTATCTAGATAAAAGTATATATAAGTATATAATTAGTGTCTAATGGAAGGTCCAATAATAATCCAAATGAACTGATCATTTCTGATTTTTATGAAAAACTGATATTAGCAGCGAAATGAATTGTCCTGCATTTCCGGGAAATATGTTTTATTACAACAGGCATTGAAAAGACATGTGAAAATGTTACTCTACTGTATGACTTTTCCCAAATACACTTCACTAATACATTGCTGTTGGAGTGAGGGATGGAAGAAGACAATGTTATGATGAAACATTACTTCTGACAGCCATATTAAATCACAATTATTTTAGGATAGATACTTGTGTTCCTGTGAATTAACACCAGCCTATCTGTTTTTTTTCAGAAAATATCTTTGCATTCAGTTTGATTTGATAAATAGATTCCAGACCCTTCAAAACCTTTTCATTTACTATGGACAGCACATATCTGCCCCTCCTACCCCTACTGAGTTTTTAATAGTTCTGTACTGATAATGCAAATATTAAACATCACAGAACAAGCCTGTCTATATTTTAGCATATGGATAAATTATGAGATTATAAAGACAAATATAATGCGTCCCCATAATTTAATTTGCTGTAATTGGAAGACAAAGTATTTGAGACAGCTAAATAGAGCTGCACTATACAAATCCACAGTATATACTAGAAACCCACATAAGTTCACAAAATTAGCAAGTTAAATGGTGTATTTATGTTTGATACAAGGGCTGTCTACCCTGACTTCTGGAGGTATGGCTATGGATATACCTGAGTTAATTTTAAACTAGGTAACATGGTACAGATAGCAACAAGCTGTAGTGGCTCAGGTACAGCTGTCAAGTATTTATTTAGCTCTATGGGTTTACAGCAGCCTAGGGTGAATCCAATGCCATGGGCAGTTTGACTGCCACCTGTAGCTGTCAAACCTAAATCTCAGTTCAGATAGATGTAACACTCTCTGACTGTTGCAATTAAATCTAACATTAAATTGCACAAACTTGTAAATCATGAGACATTGTCTCAATCCTATACTGGCATTTACATGTGGTGTTGAGGGCCAAATCCAGCACAGGGTTGGGCACTGCAGTGAGCAGCGTAGGCATGTCTGGTGTCTGTTGGGGAAGATCTGAGCAAACTCAGAGGCAAGCCTCTTCCCTTTTCACAGATAACTGAGGCAGTTTTTAATGAGTGCAGGTGACTCCACAGTTCATTAATTGCTGAGATTTCCTTCGATTATTGTTTGGACCTGGAAGCCTGTGCCCCTCTCCAGATCAAACCTTTTCCTTTTTTTTTTTTTTTTTTTTTTTTTAGTGTTCCTTCAAGAAGAATTAAGTTATAGCCATCTAAGGTTACTTCTGAATAAAAGCATCTACACAAAGATTTAATGCTCTCTGACTAATGCACTCTAACTTCATTGTATTAGTTCATTTATCTTAACTTTCCTGAGTGTTGCTTTGTAGACAAGCACTTAATCAGTTAGCTGGGGCAAGCAATCTCTGCTTCATGCTTACTGCACTCATCACCTAGCTTTATACTAAGCAGCAGACTTACTCAGCTGGAAACTATTTTTACTTCCCTTAGGTATGGAATTAGTGCCTCCTTATTACATCTCTTCTTTTTGCACTTGCTTTTTTGGGATAGGAAATGTCTCTGTCTCAAACACTTTAATGAAGAAAAACCAAATGACACCCCTTTCACTATGTCTTCCAGTTGACACAAACACACTATTAGATGATGGAAATTTGGAAAAATCATATATATGCTATACTCATTGGTTTTAATTTTATGTGAAGCAAATAACAATATTCTTATATGATTAAGTTTGGAATATACTGTTAAACTACCTTAAAATTTTCCATTATGAGCTCCTATTTTAGATTATTTATAAATTTACCACACTCCAGTCACTGAGGATGAAATTTTTCATGCTCATCTTTTTGCCTCAGGCTGAATTTTCATTCAAAGTCATATAAAAATGTTTCAGCAATTTCTAAAATCTAGGTTAGTGAAAATTAGGTTGGGGTGTTATTTTTTATTCCAGTGCTAATAACAGTTCATTCTGAGTTTATGCTTTTTTTGGTATTTGCAAGGAAGTCCAAGATAATTTCTTTAAGTTGTGGGAAAATTTTAGCTTATACAATTGTCATAAAACTAGTTTTAGTTATTTTTCTTATTTTTTATGGATGAATCCAGCATCCTACTAAAAGAAGAAAAGAGGTGATCTTTTAATTGCAAAGTGTGTCATAAAGTAAATAAAATGGTTGAATTAAAGTTGAATGAGTAGTTTTAGTTCCAGCATTATTCAGCTGAAGAATGCTTGACTTAGCAGTCTTAAAAACAGTTTTATGTGATTTCTCTTTGTTTTTTAGATGCAAAGGAAAATCTTATTAACTCTAATTTGTTTCACAGAAATGTGGCAGTATGGCCAGCCAGGTTTATTTCTAAAACTTAATGCTTTCACTTAAGTGCTGCAGACTTGAAAAAGGGCATGTGTTAAACCCTATACAAACAAATAGGTGCCCAGGTGTCTAAATCTGGAAAAGATCTGTAGATAGTGAAGTATTTTCTATGGCAAAGCCTTTAGGACTACATATGAACCTGAACACGAAAACATTTCGGGGGGAAAAAACAGAGTTAATATACAAAAGAAAAATCATATTCCAGTTTGTCAGATCGAAAGCTTCCATGGACTTTCGTGTCCCTAATGCGCTCTGATTGAAGAGTCAAAAATGGCCTCTCATCACAGCCTTGAAACATGAACCCTTTAATTTTTGGCAACACCTGCCCTTCCCCGACAAGGTTCTACCCAGAAGCCATAGCTCTGACAGTGTCCATTAGAGGTAACGGTAAACATTACAGTCTGAGATTAGCAAACTCTGAGGCTATGGGGATACCAACACACAGGATAGGGCTCTTGAACTAACCAGAGATCGCCTTCAGCCTGTCACTGGGAAGAGAAAAATAGCTTATGCTTATGCCAGCCTGGTCTCTGCTTATCCACATTCCAGGCTCCCTGCCCAGATACATCAAGTTACTTTTATTTCTTAAGAAGGAGCTAACTGATCCCTTCTCCATGTTTAAGCTTGGAGTTCACACAAATATTAACATGTCCTTGCATTTTAGCCCTTTATACCATTTTGATGATGTGAAGGAGACTTACATTTTTCTGTCCACTTTAAGGTCTGCTGACACTCAAGACAGTAAATGTTGTTCAAGGCTCATTTTGTTTGGTTTGGGTAGTTGTTTGGTTGTTTGTTTTGGTTTTGTGGGGTTTTTTGTTTGTTTTGGTTTTTTTCCCCAAGCATGAAATAGGGAAATGCTGTGAAGAAACTAGAATAAATTTTTAAAAACCCACAACAGTCTCCCTTACACAAGTAAGATGTTCTGCGGCTAAAAACAAGCTTTCTGATCGCCAGTCTGTTCTGCATAGTCCAGCTAAATTCTCTGGCATAGAGACCAGAAGAGCTTTTTTTTTTTTTTTGTCCAATGTGCAGAAACATGTTTCACTGCCATTGACCATCACAGAACTCCTGCTTTCAAAACTGTGTTATTGCCCCATCCAAAACTGACAACAAGGTGGCCCAAAATGTTTTGCACAGAGCTAGCAGCTGCTAATACGAGTACAAGGTGTAAAAGCATGCTACAGTTTCTGCAAAAAATATTCAAAGTTCTACATGCTAGAGAGAGAGAGGAAACTGCTTTTCCTTGGTACGTTACTAGATGTCCTAAACCAGTTGCACTCTGTAAATCATTCAGTAATACATTGCTGATGCTGCTGCATTCTTCACAGCCTGTTTTTTTAGTGTAAATTGGCTGTCCACATTCCTTAATGCTTTGAAAAATTTCCCTTCAATCTCTTTCCACTGTACTGTTAATTGTTTACCTATTATGACTGGAAATGTATTGGGATAATGCAAACACACGCAAGACATAATGAAATTACTGCATGTTTGGAATGATTTTTTCTTAAAGACATGGACCTATTTTATAATGAGGATATATTTAACCACCAAAATAATGCTTACACCTCTCTGAAATGACATTTGCTGCAAAGCTGGTGAACTGAATGTGTGCAAAAAACACTACTGTGCTTGAGTATAAAGCTCACAGTTGTCTTCTAATCAGAGTTGTATTTTCTGGGGTTTACTTGACAGAAGCTTGAGTATTGCAAAGAAAATATTTTTCCTGAAATTGCAAAATGCCGGTCTTTTAGTAGTAGAGGTTGACAAGGACTATTTTTGTCTATCTAAATCATTAGGATGTGGAATAAAATCACATCCAAAAACATGGTCTGAAAGTCGGGTAACTAATAGAGTCAGGGATTCAAGTTTGCCTGCTTCTAGCCGGACATGTAGTTGGTTGTGTTTTGAACAGCTGCTCTTCCTGAAGTTACGCTCTGATTAAAAAAGATGTTTTCTTGTTAATCCATCCTGTGGATGAAGTAACAGGTAAAAATAAATAAAAAAGAGCATGGAAAGTAATATGCTAGCCAGTTTTTGTTAAGAATAGAAAGCAATGCTGTCAGAGACTGAAAATAATTTCCTCTGTCAGAAATCTTAGGGTGCTTGTGTAATGGGACCAAAAGAGATACCACAGATTAGATTAAGGTTGCTGAATGATCACTTATTTTGCAAAAATATGGTGTCACATCTGAAGACTTATTTAAGGAAAAATATTTCTCTTGGCCCTGGAATTAAATATTGACATTAAGAAGGTCTATACATCATCTAGTACCTGTGACTCAGAGCTAAAATCCATTATTTGAATTTACAAATATTTTTCCTCAATCACCTTGGTGAAAAAATGTGTACATCATACCTTCAGATTATAGTTTTATTGTTGTTTTTTTTTTAATTGTTTCTAGTAATCCACAGAGACAAACCTGAAAAAGAAGAAAAAATTGAGAGAAAGGAACCCCTAAAAGGTATGTTTTCAGTGTTTGATGTTCTTTGTCTTTTTACCAGTGGTTCAGAACAGTCTAATCTATTGACTCTTAGACCCTTCTTGTAAATCCCAATTATGCTTAAGGTTGGAGGAGGTGTGAGAGCCAGCTGGAAGGAGAATGAGGATTTTAAAAGCGCTTTGAATTCATCACTCTGCAGAGGGGCTAAAATTATATTCAGAGATTAATGAATAAATTGTACTGTATTATTAACTTATGTAAAAGATGCCCAGAGCATAAATAGGTGCCTTTTTTATTCTTCTTGAATAACTCCAAGCATAATATTTGTCTTTGGGAATACTTCTGAGCAAAACATAATGAGTAAATTATAACATACAGGGCACAGTCCCTGGAGGCATTCTGTTTCAGAGACCTGCTTGAGAAAAAAAAATTTCACTAGACTCATTTCAGAGACATTAGGGAGAGGGTGTTAGAGAGGATTTACTAATTTGTTGTTGGTGTATGCCAACAGTAAATTACAGATCCGCCTGTTGTAGGAGTCTGAATCAGTATACTGCTTCCTCTCTCCACCCACAACTCGTGAGTTAGCTCTGGGCTCCAAGAGTTTGCCTCTTGTGAGAGATTTTTTGGCAAAATAGAATTTTGTTGGAACATACCTACTTGTCAAAACACTTTAAGTCTTCTGAGAATATGTCCTTTACATAAAAATGTGATTAATGAAGTCTCAGGCTGGAGGAAGAAACCCATTCTAGAAGAGCAAGTAGGCCAATGATCATAATAAATCACACGAAAAAGGGAAGACCCAATATCCAGCCACAGCTGATTTATTTCAGACCAATAACATAAGTCTCACAACCCAAGTGAACATGCACCTTCCTGAAATCTGTGCTTGTCTAGGCCTTTCCAATGGTCTCTGATTGGAGCTTTTCCACTTTATATAATTCAAAATACATTGAGTTAGCAAGACTGACTCTAGAGGTTAATGGCAGGCACATAAGTTCAGGTTTCTGTTAGAATTAATATTTATTTCTAGAAAATTGAATTATGGTAACAAGAGAAATTTTTTTATGAGATTTGGAAAAATGACAAAGCAAAGACTATATTGTCCTGTATTAAAACATGAATGTGTCATTAAGACTTCTCCTGTTATTTTGTGGAAAGCTTGGGATATTCTTCAATTTCACTTGATAGGAGAACAATATTTAATGTTTTTTAAAGTTTCTTAGAACAGGAAAAAGTTATCCCAGCCAATCTCAGATAGTAAATGAAGAAGAATAAAATTATTATACTACCTTAACTTCTTGTAACTCCTACTAATATTCTGTCTACTTAACTGTATTTTATCTTAAGGTGAATGTATTACTTAGTTTTGTTTAGTGAACTATTTCTACAGTTGCTACTAAAACATTACTGCCTGTAGAGATTCTTTGTAATTACAGTATTAAGAAACATTGCTTTCAGACTGTACATTATATTTTAAAGCTATGACTATGGATACGTGTCTTTCTAAGGCCCATTTCATTGCAGGGTGACTGAGAGACTCCAAAGTTTCACTGCATCCCTATATTTTAACTGCTTATTTTCTACTTTAAATGCATTCCCTTTTCAAGATTCAGATAACTGAGAGAATGAATAAAAACCTATTCTAATTTCTAATCAAGTTTTGTGGTGAAGTTTAGGAAAGTTATCTAACGACACAAAGAATAATTAAAAGTGTCTCAGTCACCTAGAAGTGATTTGGTAACTTAGAAGTGTCACTTAGCTATGTCAGAAACTCATTCTCATGTGTTTCATCACTATATTTCTAAAAAAATATGACAGCCTGAATATTCCATACCCTTCTTCTTTTGCTTCCAGTTAGATATGGAATTCGTGGTACTGTAAAAGAGCTTCCTTATTTTCTCAAGTTTGACAAATGGAGTTTTATTAAACTGGGATGAAATCTCCACAGGAGTTAGAGTTAAAACTAGCCTGCAGTTTCACAGTGGATTTTTCTGATGTGTTGTAAAATCCACGTGCTTATTTCTCATTGTCTGGAAATTTATTGTGTAAAATCCTAAGAAAAGTGAGTGGAAAATGTTATGTGGATGAGTGGATAGCATAATACTATTTCCATTATCATAATGTTAATTTTCACTTTACATATCTAACTATGGCTCTGAGATCATCACTGAGGGGACTGAGCTCAGCTAGTGTCCATTACTAGAGATCTGTACCCATTACTGGCGATCCATATCCATTACTGGTTATCCATTCCAAGCCAGCTGGCAAGTGGCAGATGTGTCATTTGTGCATGTGATGCTCTTATGCTCCAGGATTGATTCCAGGGTTTTTACAAGCCTCTGCCTGACAGAGTATGGAGTGGCCCAGGTGACGTCCTCTTTCTGGTGCAGGCAGCAGCATTTACTCTTAGCTCTGCCTTGCTCCTTGACAGTTTTCTGAAAATCTCTCTCCAGCAATGGACAGACAATTGTAGGCAATGATGTTACTGTAGTAAACAGCTGAGGCATGTTACCATGGCTTGGGTGGTAAGCTGGTAAGCAGTAACTTGTTAGCCAGAGCTGTCTGCTCACACCCATGTAGTGAGATGTACGCTGTGCAGATACGCACAGGATAACTCAGGAGTAACACAGGTCGCCATTTTGTCTTCTAAGGATTTTCTTGGTATAATTATTTTTGATTCTTAAGTCTTTTCCACATTTTTTTTTTCATGTATATGAACACGTTTCTTCTTTCGTAGTGACGCATAAAGACAAGCTGGAAAGACAAGAAAAACCTGAGAAGAAGGAAAAGCATGCAGGTAATGATTTAATGTCAGAATTTATTTTACATTTTGAGGTACCCCGGAACTAATTGTCTACTCAATTTCGATTTATATATCTCCTCGGTGGAGAAACATGTTATGGAACTTTATGAAGAAAGATCATGAGATCAAGTAAAGATTTGCAAACATACAGAGTAGCATTTTGTATTCCTTCTGCATGTTTGTAGGGTTTTTTTTCTGAGGAAGGGAGATAATATCTTTTGTACTCTGGATTAGTATAATCTCCCAGTAATCACTGAATATTTCCAACACTCACAGTAAGTATGGTTACTAAGTGAATACGGTCATCCAGGAAAAACACCTGACAACCTGTAAACAAAAGTATTGAGGCAGGCCATGTGAAAAAAAATGTTTTTAATATAATATTGCGTAGAGCTGTTGCATAGGCATTGAATAAGGCAGGACTAATTATTTTAGTAGTTACTTGAAATAAATAGGTATCTAGCAGTGCTTTATCTTCCACAAGTCTTACATTTTCTGAAACACCAACACAAAACTGGAGAGTACATAGCAATGCTCATGAATACATTTTTGTGTTCTTAGTATAAACTCATGTGCTGAAGTCAAGTAGGCAGCTGAGTGTTTTCACATGCCTGGTCCCTGTAGAGGATATGAACACATACAAATAGCAGTTCTGCACACCTGGGGACAAGTTACTGTGTAAACATCAATCTCAAAAAATTAGCATACCAGAGTCCACAGAGGAGAACATTCCAGATTACCCACCACTCAGTGACTACTGCACAACTCAGGTGTATTCTGAAACCTGAACCAGAAATCTACTCACTACAGTGTATTTTATTTCAATTTGTAAAGTGGAAATTAAAAGCAAACAAAAAGCCCCAAAGAGCATTAGTTATAATGCCATTGCAATTAGATTTGTAATTAATTATAGTGTTTAATCATTCATAACTGGCAAAACTGTTAGTTGTTATGTGGAGTTCACAAAATCCTTCAGAAATGAACCACAGTAATAAACAAGAAAGCTCAAACATAAAAATAAACCAAAATAAACCTATAAATGACAATATAAACAAAACAAACAAAATGAACCAGTAAAATGACATAAATAAGCATGACTCTTCTTGACTAAATTCTTTCATGGCATTTCAGTTGTGCCAGAAAGGCCATTCCTCCCCCAGCTGATGGCAGAGACCTGGTAGGGATGGTAGACAAGTTTTTGGTAGTTTGAATCACGTGTTTTGATATCAACAGCAGACAGCAGCAGATGAATCAATCTTTCTGGTTCTGCATGGACAGTCATGGCGCATAGTTGTGTGATCTTCTTTCTTTTCTTTCTCACTTAAAAATACAATGTTTCTCTTTTTAAATAACCATTAATGTTGTTATTTATTTCTAGCTATTCACAAAGAGAAACCTGAAAAGCCAGAAAAATATGAAAAGAAAGCACCTTCTAAAGGTAATGCAGATTATTATTATTAGATGCTATACAATTGTAGATTTTCAGTGCTTACATAGTTCTGGAGAGTGTGGAGATGAACATTTAAAGTATAAAGCTCTTCTAGTCTATGCACCATGGTTTTGGGTGCTCTCACTTTTGCTTGAGCAGGTCTCGATCAGCCCCATGGTGAGGTCTTGCTCAGCATATATTTTTTGCTTAGTTCTCTTGTTTTGATGCCCAGGGGTAATTATGAATCATTCTCATGCAGCTAAAGAAATAAGCCTATGACTATTATATTTGCATTCCTTTATGTCTTTTACTCCACAATGGGATTCAGTAATTTGCCTGTAGAGGAGGCTTTCTCTTGTGTATCAATTTTCAGTCTGGTATAGACCTAATAGAAGAGTGTTTACTTTCTCCCAGTCTGGGTCTTCCATCACATCCAAAAATAGATTTTCATTTTCTTACCTTTATTTTTTTGCAATAACATTTTCATTTCACTATATGATTTGTACTGTCCTCCATGGGAGAAGGGGCTTTCGTTAAGATTTACATATCTGTTAATTATCGTATATATTCTGAAGCAATATCATGTATGAGAGGTGATTTTCAATATTCTTTTGACTGATAATTCCATCTTTAGCCATGATTTGGACAGGGGGATTTAAAAATTCAATCTACTTGCCCTGTTATGACATTGTTTAAAGACAAACATTTATTATTGCTTGACATTTGAATGTTTTTTACTCTGAGCTTGTTCGGGTTTTTTTAACATGCATTGCTTTTTGGAAGCCAGATATTTCTATACTGAAGTTGGGTTTCAACCTTTACCTCTTCTTACTTTTACCCAGTTAACTCTTGAAAAAACACTATGCAATGTATCTTAATATCAGTCTGTTATGGCATTCAGATTAATCTCATGATAATGGGATGCATAAATTAATTAGATTTCATTTGAATCTGTTCAGACAATATAGATTCAAATGTACAAATCAGTCTTTATTGTACTTGACCTTACTCTAAGGAGAAACGTAAAACAGAAAGTAGGAGTGAAGAAAACATGGAATGAAGATTTATAACTTAAAAAGACTTTGAAAGGTAGCCATTGTCCAGTCTCTCTTTTAAAGGGATATTTGGTCATTTTTTTTACTTTCAGTGTATAACTTGAAAGTGTAGGGGGTTTTTTAATAAAATGAAATCACATGGAAGTAATCCAGAGAAAATAAATGCCCACGGTGTCTTTGTAGATTTGAAAAGCAAATAACTTCCAAGAGTCACTGAGATATTGCTAATGAGCAGCCGGCCTGTTTACCCATTTATCTTCTGCTAGCTAACCAAATAATCACTTAGAGCCTTAATGTGTTTAATAGCAGCTATGACTCCAGTCACTGGCTGGAAAATTTTAGGAAGGATTTGGCCAGTTTGTAGCTAGGAAGGTTTGTTGCTGCAGTGTGACATAGACACGCCGCCCTCTTTTGAATAGTTTTCATGTCCCTGTGGGTGGATTCAGTGCACTAGGGCACTCGTTGTTTTCAGCTCTTCCTAAGGCACATTTCTGCTAGCAGTGTGCTGATCCAGCCATTGCCAGGCTCTCCTCCCTTTTCTCTGGGGTCTGCTCTAAACCGAATTACCTACCAGCAGTGCTGAAGGGCCATTTCAACCACTTGCAACCACATCCTAAGAAATGAGGATGCTCAGGTCCAGGCCAACAACAGGCATACTAAAAATCGAGTGGCTAGCAGGTTTTCTCTACGCTCAATGAAAAGACTTACGGTATTTTTTCAGTCCCTGTTAAAGGCTCCAGAAAGACTCAGTGATATGAATTCTAATTAAACACATCATCTAGAAACCAGCTATATTAAAAAAAGAAAAACAAACCTAAATATCAAACATGACTCATAGAGGCAGAAATTCCAGTCTGGAATTCAGTTAGAGAGGATGTTACTATTATGTAGTTATCACTTGAAAGAAGTGTAATTAACTCTCAAGGTTGTTTTGTTCCAGCAATGTGTCTGGATGGCAAGCAAGAGAGGAAAGATAGAAGTCTTCGCATAAAATTTTGACAGCCTTTCTGGGACATAGCAGTGTGTGTTTACACAGTGTATCCTGTGCGGACATGAACCCACTCAAGCTGGGCCCTGAAGTGAGCAACAGGCTTGTGGCTGTGTTTGTAAGACAGCAAGCTCAAGAAAAACACCTCTCTGTAAGATAAATGTAGCCGCATGGCTTCCCATTGGCTGTAGCACAAGACCAAGCCTGTGTCTGCTCAGAGCTTGAGCTGAGAAGGTTTGTGTCTTCTGGAATATTCATTATAAACATTCCCTACAAAGCTTAAGATCTGTATGATTGACTTATCTTATCGTTAGGTGAGTCTCAACAGGTATTTTGAAGCTTTTTACTCCAGTGTGCGAACTTGGGAAAAAGAAGTAAGAATTTTGCAAGCTGGAAAAAACAGGAATCATGAAGAAATGTAAAACTTCCGGGGATGATGTTGTGCTTTAGCAATATTTTCTCATTCTTTGTGAACTTTTTTTCTCTAATATACAATTGTACTCTTTTCTAGTAATTCAAAAAGACAAGCCCGAAAGACATGTAAAAGCTGAAAAGAAACCTCCTCCTAAAGGTATTTATTTATTTATACTGAATTTTTAACCCTAATTTACATTAAAATTCATAAACTTTATTTTATTGGAGCAGAGAATATAATCTGTATGAAAAATCAGCTGCATGACACTGTAATGAAATTAATATATAATTCAAATCAAAATGTCTCTAGAACATTCAAGGGTTAGTTCTATGCATGATCCCTTTTAAAACATGTTGAAATTTCAAAGATGAAAAAGGTGTGAACTACCTTTTCCCTGAAAAAAAAGTAGGCCTATCTGTAAGTGATTTGACATATGCATTTTCACTGTAACTAGGTAAGGAAATTCTTTCTTCACTAGCCAGCAATGCTTGGTCATGCCATGATTTTGTTTGGAAGTAGGAATGTCCTTATATAAGTGTCTGTATTCTGTTTTATAATAGGTAGAACTATTCAGTTTACATATTGATAAAATCACTTTAGTCAGCCCCGTGCTTTAATGGAAACAGAAATCTAGAGCTTTACAGAAGACAGATTTTGTAGCATAAAAGTTTGCCTCAAGGATGGAGACAGAGCTATGAAGAAAACGTGATGTGTGAACATCACATGAAACAGATTAGTTTAAACCATATTCAGTGGCATTTTAAACTACTGTTGGATTTTCCACTGAACTAGAAACACATATATTGTCAGCATCCATGTCTCAGATGACAAAAAACTGCTGATACATACGAGCAGGAGGAATATTCTTGGTCTCACCAACCTCTGTGTAGCTTCAGCCACTGATATTCACAATTTGTGATTCTCCTTAGAAGCCACCTCACTCTGCTGCAGGGTGCATCATGAATTGGCCTGTTTCAAATTAGTCTTTCATCCTGGGAATCAGTATAGAGAGAGACTCAAGAACTCAAGTCTTCTTGTTCAGATACCTAGAATCAGTGCATAAAAGGGACCTGTACGAATAGCCACACTTTAAACCAATTACTTCTAGAATTTATAACAGAGTTTAGCTCTGATGTCTGAAGTCTGAAGTTACTCAGATTTAGCCTGGAAGTACCTTCCATATTTGTTTCCTTAATGACCAACATCTGTCTCCCTAGTTTATATCATAAAAGCTATCATATTGTCATTAGAAGCATTTAATATTTTTTGCCATATCTTACTATATTTAGTATCAGTCAAACACTTGGTACATGCCTGAAGGCAAAACATGCTTGCATCTCATATATACTTCTAATTCTGTCTGGTTTGGGGGGATTATAGTTTTCATCAGATCTGAGCAATGTGTTAATAATGAGAAATACCCACTAGTATTAGCACAAGATAAAATAAATGGTATTATTATTTTGTGGGGAAAGAATGACACTGAAAGTTTTTTCTTTATTACCTGCAGAGGAGAAGAAAGTAAAGAGCACTAAAGTGGAAATAAAAGTTAAAAAGGAAGTGAAGGATGGAAAAGGAGAAGCAAAGACGACTGAGAAGGTCAAGCAGGCAGAGACAAAAACAACAGAAGTTGGGCTAATAAAGGCCAAACCAAAAGTTAAGGAGGAGAAAGCTCTTCAGACTGTAACTAAATCGGAAAAGAAAGGTAAAAAAAATGAGGAGGAAACAGATGAAGATCTTAGAAAGCTAGTAGGGAAGAAGCAGAGAGAATGGAATTAAAGCTGGCAAGGACCAAAGTCCACCCATGAAAAACAGAAGTGCAGTACAAATAAATTCCAGATGAATCTCACACTGCTAGGAGTAGACTATCAAGAATAAAATGTTTAATCTTAATAACTAGCATATTCCAACTGTTTGGCATGGCTAAAGATTCATTTTAGTTTAAATCTTTCTTTACCAAGGACCATTCTCTTCAGATAGGCCTGAGCCTTCATGGATTTGCTCGGTAGCATCTTGCATAGTGTATTGCTGGCAGAGTTATTTTGGAAAATAGAGACTATCCAATGAACTGTTGGGAATTTTGATTTGTTTTTACATCTACATATGTCTTCTGTAACTATGAGAAAAGTAGAAGCAGAGGAAAGGGAATGTAATAATTTGTTTTATATCGGATTATATGAGACATTGTCATGTTGTCAGGTATTTTATGGCATAGTGATATACCTGCCTCATAATTTGATGTGAACAACTTCCAAATTTCTCCTAAAAAGGAAATAAATGCCATTACCCTCTTGAAAGGAAGAAATTAAGTGATAAAATAAAGAATCAACATGCATCAACACCAAATGGAGGTGTTAACTATACGCTCCTCTTTGTCAGAGCCAGCCTGTGTTCTTCCACTCCCAAGTTGCACTGACTTGTTCCCTGATTTCCCTGTGGCTCTTCCATGACGTTAGGTACAATCTCATACGAATGAAGGTGGCAGGACCTGACGCTCTGTATGAACTGCCACACTGCAGGCACAGGATTATTCTGACATTAATAGAGGCAGCTCAGCGTTGCGTGGCACACCTATTTGATCCTTTCAGCTGATAACCACAGATAAACCATATTGCCTGAGCACCAAAGCAGCCATTCCTGTGTAGATATCTGAATCTGCCTGGGCGGCTTCTCTCAGAATTTCATAACCATCTGGTCACTTTGGGAGTTGCCTCAATTATACCTTTCTAGAAATCAGAGATATTTTCAGACATAGCTCCCTTTCTGACATGTATAGTGTGCCGAATCAGTATTTTTTATTATTCATATTCTAGTTAATTTTGGTTTTTACTTGAAATATTGGAGCCTTTGAGGCACAAAATCAAAGCAGCATCTTTCATGCTGATTGCAGTGACCAAGGGGAAATTCAGCAAATTGTTGAACTCCTCTTGGGAGGTTCAAATCTGTTCAGTTTTCCTTTGCTCTCACAGAGTTTCAGTGCACAGTGGGATCCACTCCATACTGTTCAGGATAAGGCTCTTAAAAATGGTAAGCAGATGAGACACTTTACTCCCTGATAGCACAATATTTTAAGTAAGGGTCAAAGATTACAGAGAGCAATAGAGAGTGGTGGTGGTTTTTTGTTTGTTGGTTTGGGTTTTGTGAGATTTTTTTTCCCCTCCTTTAGCTGATATATATTACCAAGATGATCCATCTTAACATCAAACATTAACAGATCACTTTGTAAGTCTACTTTAGAGTGTGACCCCAGTGACTGTGCACTGAACCCTGGCAGGTGAAAGTGGGATGAGCAGCTGGAGTGGAGGAAGGAAGGAGCCTCTTCAACTGCCCTTATCACTGGAGATAGGGCTACACACGTTCAGTGAAAGCTGCCTTTTCTACTTTCATCCTTCCTTTTTCCACCATAAACTGCTGCTGCCCGGCTGGATACTCTTAGAAAATTCAGTTCTATATTTCAGTCCCACTGTGACCCAAGGTGAACATAATTTAGAATTCAATGGGGTTTTGCCAAGATTTCCTGTTCCTGCAATCCTTACTTTTTCTTGCTCAAGGGAGTAGTTCAGCCAGTTTTTCTGCCACAATGTAAAAAATATAACAGTAATCACAGAAGAGTTGTTAAGATTTCCCTGATGTTGCATCATTCTTTACTCAAGTTAAAATTAAAAAAGATAGGTCATCTTCCAGGGTAAATCACACAAGATCCAATGACAGAAATATCTATGACTGTTTTTATCAGTTAGAATCTAGTCCCAAAATCTGACATGATTTATTAGTACTCAAATTAAATATTTTGCTACTATTACAGAGGTATAAGGTAAAAACTATAGTGTAAAATTCTCTGTTTAACAAGACAGTTTAAATTAAAATGAATTTTTAGCCATGAAAAGACATTTAGAAAATCATATTAATTTAAAATTCCTTGGGTTTCAATCTTTGCTGATCAGCAGAATTTCCATGAACTTCAAGGAGATGTTATAGTTTACCTTATTATTTCATAGACAGTAGAAATGCTATTTTTATTATTCAGAGTTTAACATTCTGCCTTCAATTATTTTTATAAACCCCAATTTTCCGGGGCTGAGTTGCTAAAGATATCCTACAAGGAAAAGATTAATACAAAATCTTTTTTCTCAGGTACAATCAAGATTAAGGTTTTTTGGAAAAAAAGTTTATTCGTATGACATTTCCACCAAAGAACAAACAAACAAGCAAACAAAAGCACCAAACCAAACAAAACACTTGACTCAAACACCCACAGTCTATTTTAATCCTGGTCCATATTACTGCATTTAAATAATTATTTTAATGATTAATAATTGGGTTATTTTAATATCCATTAAATTATGTTATCTGAATTGATATAATAATTGATAATTAATAATTGGATTGTTTTAGTATCAGTGAAATGGTGTGAGCTGCTAGGCCCTTGGGCTATGTCTATGTCATAACCTAAATAGAACCAGCCCAGGCTGCTTCTCTGTTATGTGACTGTCCACACAGCTTATGTCCCCTGACGTAGTTCTGTCCCATGCCATCTACCAGCCCTTTGTACAATCCCCCAAAATGGTCTCAATGGTCCCCAAATTATTCCCAATGGATAGCATGGATGAAGGCAGCTTGTTTTGGCAAAAGAGGGGTAAGGAAAACTCAGCTCTGTGGGCAAGAGCTTTGCCCTGTTATTTGCTTTCTGGGGTAAACAATAGACATTGGTCCATTTTATTTATTAATGCTCACTGAGGACATATTTGCAAGTCTATTGAAGTCAGTGCAAACACTTTGCTGACTTCAGTGGCTTTAGATGGGCTTACTGAGAGTACAGATGTGTACAAGTGTTCTCACACATATGCTGCTACTTTTTCCAGAAAATTAGCATGTAGGCTCAGGGCACAGATTGCAGCCAAATTCTTTAGATTCCTTAAGGGTGGAATCCAAAGCTGCAGCCAGCCAGGATGATAAACTTCAATTCTTAAATATGAAAGTAGAAACTGCTATGAATGATCATTAAATGTTTTAAAAGCGGTGTTTATAGCCACAGTTCTGTATATATCCTGCAAGGTTTGCCCCAGGTTCTACAGTTCTGAGTAGTGTTACCCTCACCATGTCAGTAACAGGATATAGCTGCATGGACTCCTATTGACTAGCAGAAACAATTGGGTATTTGCTGAGCTTGTAAACCCTTTCCTAATTTCTGCAACTACATAGGAAATCATGACTTGAAAGTTGCAGTTCTCCACCCAATGAATTCTATGACAGTCAACATAACAGAGCAGCAATCACATAAATGCCTCAGCATCAACATATAATACTGATGCTCTAGTGAACTATGTTAAGAAAACAAATAATACAAAAAATGTTATATACTTGGGAATGTCATTCTGCATTTAAATATAAGAGTTATGCCATTATTTTAAATTTTAAGTATTCCAAAGTCAGCATAATTTTATTTTGAAGTTACAAAGGGAAAGCAGGTGTCTTTGTAGGTGAGTAGGAGATGTAACAGGAGATGGAGAGAGAGGAAAAGATGTAACTTCTGTAGCCAAGGAACTGGGCTAGAACAGTCTAGGACAGACAGATAAATATGTTTAACTCAAGGAGAGTTGGGAACTGACTTAGCTAACCAGAGTTGGCATTTAGTCATCAACATTAATTTTCAAAGTTAATGTCCCTTAGACTCCAGTGGGGCAACATGTTTTTTTTCAGGCCAACTGAAGAATCCAGCAATAATGTTGTGATTCTTTTACACTCAGTTACAACTGGTAACTTTTCTTCATCATTCTTATTGTTAGAAATTTTTATGAAGGTTTATGTATAGGTCAATATACAATATACAACCTTTCTGAAATCAATTTCATTTAGATTGAGAAGCCATCATTTCTGAATAGCATAATATTAATATATATATATATATATACAGATGTAATATATATATATATATATACAGATATATATTTGTAAAGATTAGTGCTTGGAAAATAATTCTGTAGCAAAATGATAAAATTCAGGGGAAAATCTCATTGCTACAAGAGTAAGTACACAGAGTTCTCTTTATATTCCCATTCACTAAATGTAAATATTGATTATACTGTTAAAACAATATTAACAAAATACTGTGATATAAAACTTTATTGAATTTTTCTATAAACTGGCTGAAACTATTTGAAATGGATCTTCAAGGAGAAGAAAAAGTCTTTGGGACCTGTGCCCAGGCAGCAGATTGCACAGTACTTGTGTGTGGGGTCAGGATCTCTTCCAAAACCAAGGCTGTGCACTGCTGACCTGTGGCGCACACTGCACCCTGAACCCTCAGAAGCGTTGGTAGCACTGAGGCACTAGTAGCTCTGAAGTTCTTGGCTGGGAGGCTTGAATTAGTTCTGGACAATAAATTGACTCTTTTTGAACATGTGAATTACTTGAAGGCCAGGAAAAAAATACCAAACATAAGTAAGACTATCCTTGAAATGTGTCTTTGCACTGCCAAGTTTTATCTTCACTGTTAAATAGAAACAACATTTCAAATTTACTTTCTTGATTACTCTTTTTTTTTCCTTTTGCTCTGTTAGATCAATATGCATTCTGTCGCTATGTGATTGACATGTTTGCGCAAGGGGATTTTTATCCAGGTACTTTCCTACATCACTGAACTCTGTTCTAATATTCTTCTGTTTCCCTGAGAGTGTCTGATCCTTTATGTATTAAAAGCGTGGTTTGTATTGTTGAAAGGTCTCACAAGTGCAACAAGAGTGTGCAAATAGTTTTAATAAAGCATAAGAGCTAATGGCTGTATTATTAAAGATTTTAATTTTTGTCTACAGTGCATGAAATAAAATTAAGGTAATGTTAAAAGTAGAGTTAATTTAAGGTTATGGAAATTGGTGGAACTGTTCATGCTTTTTTTTGGCTGAGATGCAAGAGGAAGGAGCTTATTGTTAATAGCTTATTGGCTTTTTATTTTTCCCCTACAAATAGCAAGCCTTGACCCCAGAATGTTTCAAAAATAGAACTGCCATTGTTGGTTTTAGTATATAAAATATCTTAGCTGATCCATCACGTCTGTGTTTTATCTTCTCTCTTCCCACATGTCCATGCTCATCTATTCTAACACAGACACTTTATTCTTAGCCAAAAAAAGAAGCTAGAGCTACTGATGATGACTGAGCATCATCTCATAATATTAAATCAATCTACCCTGACCCTATTTAATCTACACTCTTCCTTCTGAAATCCGGTGCAAGAGGACATACTACAGAGAGGACATAATCCTAGGAATGAGAAGTAATTATATTTATGAAAAGAGTCAAGTATAGAGTATTTAATAACACATTAAGCCTTACAAGCTTTGTTTATTCTGTTACTTTCCCACGAAGCTCTCCACTGGTACTTCTCTGATTTGGATGTGTTTTCTTCTCTCTGCATTGTGGCTTAGGTCCTCTCTTGACATGCCCAGGTCTAGTCAGAGCTGGGAAGTCCTAAGGACATAGCTGAGAAACAGACACTCTCAAAACGGAGAGAGAGAGGACACAAGAAAATGAACAAGCTTGGGATTTTGGAGGGAGAGAGTTTGCATGGCCTGATCTCAGTGGGTGACATGGAGAGATAGAGGAGTCCATTAAAAGGGAGCAAAGTATTATACCACCTCTAGATTTATAAAGACAGCCAGTTATAAACAGAGGGACTGGTCTAGATCAGAGTGTGAAAAAGGTTAGCAAAACCTTCCACAGACCTTCAGTTATGCTTTGATTTTAAAAATAACCTCCTGTACCAGATGTGATGCACCCAGTTTCTGGCTTTACACAGCTGTACCATTAATAAATCACCACACAAAGACTTCCATGGAGATCTTCAACATCTCTCTTATAGTTGTCCTGACATTTACAAGCAGCTTTGACACACGTCAGAGCCTTTTTTTCCAGATGGTTCCCTGGGCTGATTGACACTCTCCTAAAGCAGAGCAGACATGCTGTGGGAAGGGAGTCTTGCTTTTCAGTTTTGACCTTTCCAGCTATGAGGAAGCTGGGAAGACCATGAAAGGGAGCAGGGAGATAGAGGGAAGTCTGTAGTCACCTAAATTTCAGAAGATAAAAGACATGACTGACTACTCTTGCCTCCCAATGTTTGCCTTGTGTTATTTCAGTGTGTTATGACAGACTTGTACTAAGAAACCACAGGTTAAACAGCTGAAAAATGTTTAAAGGTCATTGGGTGGTCAGCAAGCCTTACAGGAGAACAGCTAGGGAGACAGCCTGAGACCCCAGAAAGTGGAAGTAAGTCATAAAACAGTTCGAATCATCTGATTTGTAGGTGAAAAGTATGAGGACAGTCCCTTAACTTACAGTAGGAAAAGTCCACCTGTGGCTCCATCTGTAAAGCAACTATTTGACTTGCTAAATAATTTGTCAATATCTGAAGTTAAATGCTGTGAATGATCATTGTGGTGGAGCCTGATACATTTTTGTGGGAGGTAAAATAAAACATTGCCTTCAAAACAAGCTTTAGTCAACCCACAAGATGTGAAAGACAATTCTGAAACATCCAGACCATGTCTCTGAAAAACAAGAAAAAGGCCAGGTATGGCCATCTCCGTGCTCTTTATAGAAATCATTGAGGAGAGTGCCACCAAACACTGCTCAGTTTTGTTTGTTACTGCCCATCATCTCAGGCAACATGTTCATTTCACACTGACCTTCGTGAACTGGAATATTACTGTAATTAATTTTCTTGAATTGGTAAATGTGGGGAAAACACGAGCACACTAAGTCCCTTTAATAACCATAATATCCAATTAGCTTCAAATTCTGCTATATTTTATCCTTTTATCAGTTTATGTATTTCATTGTGAATTACACTGTCCAAACAAAGAGATCCGAGTGCAATTCAGCTAAGGAATTTAATTACAGTCATCCTGACATTTCTCTACTTTCAAACCAGGAATCATTGCCATTAATCCCAATATTGGAATTTGTGATGAAGAAAAAACATGTTTTTCTCATAGAAAATTCCTTCACATAAGTATATTGGTTTTTTTGCAGTATTGTTTACACCAAATATAAATTTCTGTCTTCTTGACTTTAGAAGAGCAGTGTCTCACTCATTAGATTCCTTAGGCACAATACATGTATTTATAATATCATAACAACAATACCATTCAGTATCTATTTTTTGATAGTATTTTTGGAATTATTTATATTATTCATATTCATATTTGAAATTATTTGTATTATTCATATTCATTACTGGCAACATTGGATTATTTTAGGCTTATATAAATTTCATGCAAGAAATTATGGCAAAGTATATCATTTAAGGTGACATTTTATAGTGACCAAATTATTAAAAGTAAAACTCAGGTCCTTAGGTTTCACTCATTAGATATACTTTTCAAAATATGTCAATATATTTTGACAGTCACCTGAACTATCTATTGGAGGTCAGTCAAGGTCTTTGTTGATTTTAAGAAATGAGACTGAAATTTTGTTCATTTACTCAAAGTTTTGTCATGTTACTGCAGTGTCAGCATTAAAAAATGAATAAAATATATATAAACTGTACACAGTAAATTCACAGGAAGTCATAGAAGGGACAATTCTTGCTAAGCTGCTTTGTGAAGCATTAGCTGGTTGTTTTGTTTCTCTTGCCAGCATTTATCCCTGAAACAGACCATTTTCATGAAGATCCGCCTGTAAATAGAAATAATTACATCCATATCAATTAACTTCCAAGGCTTCTATTTTACTTTTTATAAAAGAAAAGTATTTGATATTCTCAACCCTTTACAATAGATATCAGTGGAGTTTTAGCCATAAACTCAGATAGGTTTTGCTAAACTAGGGGCCCATCTCATGAGTATCATGACTGCAACAATGACCTGCCCTGGATTCTGCTGAGGCATTTAGAGATAGCCCTTTTGAATTCTACTGTATACAGTATAAAAAATTGCTCCCTGATTTTATCAGATGAAGTATGGAACTTGAGAATATTTTTTCTTTCTGTCTAACATGCATGTGATACGTCACAACCTCTCAGGGGGACTGCCGAACCACCTTTCTCCAAAGGCTAGATTTTCTGATCTTATTTATCCTTGGACTAAAGTTTCTCAGCCAAGTATGGGCAGTACTGCCCCAGCATTAACAAATCACTCATCCAAATTGTTTTGTACTCCTTTTGGCTGCTTGTAAATGAAGAATTAATATACACTTATTCCAGGGTTGATTTTCCAAGTTTTACTTCTAATACTTTAAAGAGAAAAGCTTGTTTTTTAGGACATGCTGAGCCACATTGGTTTTGACTGGAACCTCTGTTCTGACACTGGTAATTCTGACTGTCATTGGTATTTCTGAGGTCCAAAATAGCCTTTCTGATACAGAAGGCCACTGACTTTCTCTTGTCTAGTTTCATGGATATAGTCTATTCCATGTATTTGAGAATTTATTTGATATGTCTGAATTTTGTTCTGGTTAATATGTCTTCTTATTGATATTTTTATATTTATTGGTAGGAGAAAAGGTTCTATTTTAGTAGAAACCTTTAATTAGATTTTCATAACTATTTTTTTGACCTTAGAGAGCTTGAAATCCTTATCCATGTGGATGGATTTTAGGGACAGTAGTTGGTCATTCTTTTAGTATGTAGCACATGCATCTCTAAGTTAACTGCATCTGCTCTACTTTATTCACCCTGTGTCATACTCCTATTTTACCACTCCTCCCCTGCTTTCCCTGCAACATTTGCCAGCTTGCTTTACATTTACATTTGCTGAACTACTCTGGCAGATCAAGGAGTTGTTCCAATGAAATGCCTTTTTTATTTTGCATCTACCTAAAATGGATTCTTGCATATCTGTCTTTTTGCATGCCCACCTCAGCATGTGGTTGTGCATGCTGTGTACTGGTGAATGAAGAGTGATAAGGATCTCTTGGATATTTGGTCGTAACATGGCACCCTTGTTTCCCACAGGCATACTGTATATTTATGGTCAGATTTTGTTTTCATTTTAATCACTTGGAAGTTTATTTTCTGTTCATAGTTTTACTGTGCTAAACAACTTGCATTTCACAGCACACTGGACTTACTACTGGATGATATTTACAATTACCTAATTGACAACAAACACAGTGGTAGAACAGATGTGATATTACTGTCAATTTAGCCTATCTAAAATCTTTGTGCTGAAGCACCCAATAACCCTATGCAGCTTATACCACTACGTGACTGTTTCCAATAATAACTAGACTGCACAGGAATGCAACCATACTATTTCCTTTCATCAGTTTGCCCTCATACATTTACTGTGTATTTCCATGTCATGCTCTAAAAGCCAAAGTGACATAGACAATTTTATTAATCTTACTGTTGAAAAAATATTTACCTTGGAGAAATTAATCAGGATTTCTGGCACATTTACATGGCAAGAGTGTATCCTATAGAGTAAAACAGTCATTCCACCTTCTCATTAAAAATCATCGAATCCTCACCCTTTCAACATATGCTCACGAAAAAAAGAAAAAAAAAAAAAAAAAAAAAAAA